ATCGCCCTGTTCTCTTATCTCTGGCATACAGTTGTGAAGAGCCCAGCAAAGAGCGTCCAAAACAGTGTTTGGAAGCAGCCTGCGTTTCATCCCTGCTGTTCAGATGTATTATCTGTGCCGTACTCAAACATAGATGAATAAGCAAACAAATCGTGCTCAAACCAGACAGATCTGTGCTGAAACCTTCAAAATCAACCATGCATTTGCATAAGCGTGCTGTTTAGACAAAGATACTGTCGTGTTGACTACTAACTTTTTGAATTGTCATGGTGAATTAACCAAGTTACTACAAAGCCTTGTTTTGACAATACATATCAATTAATTTGTGCTGAATGCCTTAATTTGATTGTTACACACATGCATTGATCAAATATGACTCATATTTGTACGTCAAACCGGCCAAGATTTATCAAAACACTAATAGCTCACTAACCAGCAACCACTGAAAGCTAATACGAGACAAAATGGATAAAAATAACTATTTCAAACATCAGAATTTATTAAACCAGCAAACAGTTTTACAAAAATAGCAGATAAGTCTCTTTATTCCAGTGTTTCATTGAAGATTTGACATGTAGGTAGCGCCACCTTGTGGAAGTTTGGAATTACAGCTCAATAACTTAATGAACACTTCAAGAGATTGTCATATAATCATACAATAAAGATTTTTACATTATGTTTCTGGAGGTATCTGATGAATCTTGCTTCAGTCCTACAAAAAAACACAGAGAGAAAGACAAATGTTAACCTTTAGATTCTTACAAGAATCCTTAGAACTAAACCTAAACACTTATTATGCAAGCTCTGCTGCAAGACATTGTTCTGGATATTATTCCATAAAAAAAACTTCAGGAATAAATATCATTTATGCAACCTCGTGCCATTCCAAACGCGTATGATTTTTTTTCTTCAGTGGAACAAAAAAGCAGATGTAAGGCAGAATATCAGAGCTTTAAAGGAAGGAAAGTGGATGTGATTTATACCGGGATTTTGCAAACTTGACGTGTCTTGATTTGACAAACGAGAACCAAAGAAAGTCATACGAGTTTGGAATGACATGAAGGTGAGTAAATGATGACAAAAATGTACATTTTTAAGGAGTTACGGTTAGTAAATAAAATTAAATTCAATTAAAAAAATTAAAATAGAAATTGACATTTTCGAGGAGTTATTGCTTTAAGGATAAATAAAATAATATAGAATAAAATTAAATAAAAACAATGACAGAATTTACATTTTTGAAGAGTTATTGCTTTAAGGATAAATAAAATAAAATAAATTGGCATAATTTACAATTTTGAGGAGTTAATGATTGCTTTAAGGATAAAAATAAATAAATAAAATATAAAATAAAATAAAAAATGTCAATTTACATTTCTGAGGAGGTATTGCTTTAATGATAAAAAAAATAAAAAAGGCATAACTTACAATTTTGAGGAGTTAATTATTGCTTTAAGGATAAAAATAAATAATTAAAATATTAAATAAAATAAAAAAAGTCAAAATTTACATTTCTGATGAGTTATTGCTTTAAGAAATGTAATAAATAAAATAAAATAAAAATAGTTTTTGATGAATTGGTCCAGAGTGAGAAATCATCCACTTAGTCAATCACTCTTGCACTGAATATTAAGTCTGAAACTCTCTGTATTAGAGTTATAAGGGCTGTGTGAGGCTGTTATCACCTTTGAGAGACTATTAAAGTGCACACATTCATTCCTCTGCAGACACTGTGTGATAGATGCTTTTTTCACTAGCTCGCGGTCTGCTGTAATACTCTCTATATCTCTATCTCTATAATACTGAACCCTTCCTGAAATCCCTCCACTGCTGTCATTACCATTCAGTCCGCATTTCTTGCATTGGTGTTCAGGTATCTCAATAGTTTTGCAAGTAAATATACATTTAAAGGGAAAAAAAAAGTGTTTACAGTAAATAAATACACATAAATGGAAGTCTACGGAGAATAAATATTAAAATACACACTGCTACTAAAGTATATTAATAAAAAATTAAATGTTAGACTAGTAGGTTAGTATGTTAAGACTAGTACTTAACATAAGACTAGTAAGACCAATTAGGAGAAATTTTATATGATATATTCCTGTTTCTGCAATTTAATTCTGTTTATTACTAATATATATATTTTATATATATTATATTACAATTTATATACATACATGCATACACACACACACACACACACACACACACACACACACACACATATATATATAAATTATAACAATATAAATTGTAACATTTTAATTTAGTTTATTTTTTATTCATAATTTTATTCGTTTATTACAATTAAAAATAATAAATATAAAATATACATATAATATAAAATGATATATATAGAAATAAATGTAGTTTATTATAAAAAATAATTTAATTTATTTGTTTTAAATAATGTATCATCTATCTTTTTAAATTCTCTTTGAACTATTTTCCCTATAGAAGTCTGTGTGTTACTATGGTAACCAGGATTTGTTTTCCCCTCACTGACCTTATCTATACTCACTAAACAGGTTATAGTTTAGCTTAAAACAAAGTTCAAGTGTATTGTTCAGTGTGTTTCCACAAAGATCCTATCCCTCTGTGTCTGAATAACGCCGTTATTTAGGAAATTCCTCAGCGGGTGTGTCTCCAAATGTGTGATATCTGGGTGATAAGTGACGTCTAACTGCTGGAACGCTGTGTGGGACGGGAATAAATCACTGCTAAACTTTCCAGGAGACCCTGAAGAATCAAGTCTCTGGCCATTTGAAAGCTTTAGATCCGTAAAGCTGGACCACACCTCGGTTTTACGAGACGCCACTATTATGGCGTTTATGGAGCCCAACCCTGCTGTATTAATTAATAATTAATGATCACTATCCGCAGTCTGTCCACTGCTTTCACGGACATAATTAATGCTAATAATTGAAAATGACTCACTCCTGATCTAAACCTTGCTCCTCATGTTGATACCTTCAGATTGCACCTGTGCATTAATATAATATGTGCATTAAAATTGTGTTAAAAAAGCGAAATAATTACTGAATCGCTGGAGGAAGAGGAGGACTTGCCACCGCCCTTCTTCTTGTGTTCCTTGTCTTTCTTCTTCTTCTTGCCTTTGTCTTTATGTTCTTTATCTTTGTGTTTTTTGTGTTCATCCTTATGCTTAGAATCACTCTGAAAAAAATGTACATAAATTAAAACAAAATATCACTGCATTAAACAGCAGACCGTCACATCTTTTCCTGCACATTACGTCCGTGAGGAACACTCATATTTCCCATTTAAACAGACATCAAACAGTTTGTTCCTTTATTTAAAATGACTAAAAGCTCATCTTTTAAGAGCAAAAGTTAAAACCTTGAACTGAAGATGTTTTAGACAGGCAACCGTTCTGGGAGAGATGATTCAAATTCAATATCTGTAATATTATCAACATTATTTCCATATGCAAAGTTATCCAAGGCTATCTGATATTTTCCACTTCCAAGATGTTTTTTTCCATGTCTCTTATTATCAATATTGATGACAACAATACAATCACAACACAAATGTGTCTAGGCTATTGTAACTTTGATGTGTGTGTTTTTTCTGATTAGATAATTATGAATATGAACATGTTTACCTTGTCTTTGCTCTTTTCCTTGCCCTTTTCTTTGTCTTTATCCTTCTTTCCAAACCCAAAGATACCTTCCACCTGTTTGCCCTCCGACTTCTTCACCTGATCATCTCCAACAGCTGGAAAAGCAGAGAGAGTGAACAAAAACCGCATTCGTTTACATTCAACTATAGTGTTTCTTGATTTAATAAAAAAATAAAATGCTAAATCAGCTTTGCAGCAGTTTACCTGCGCCCAGATCGAAGTCCATGATGAAGTAGTTATCAAACTCTCTGATCGACGCTTGTGTAAGATCTGTGTTTTCAGCAGAGAGCTGCAAGGGTTTGTCTCATGAATATTAATTACGCAACCTGACGTTCGCCCAGTCGGACTATCTGATTGGCTGAACGGCAGACGCTTGTACGTGAGCGATAGTTAGTTGGCGAATAAGCGCAAGGCTTGGCTCATGAATATTAATTAGGTTGTGTGATTGGGCGGCCGTTCAGGTGATTCAGTCAGGTGTGCATTGACGGAAGTATCTGTTCTGCACTCCTGCTTCAATAGCAACAAATCCACGCCTATATATGTCACAACAGTTCCAGTTTTGTGTGGTGTTAGGTGCCTTATGTGGGTTTAGTATATAATATAATAGTCTGTAAATTAAGAATTTATTCAATTACTTCTCTTTTAAAAAATTGAATTTTGTTATAAAAATGCACACATCACATGGGATCATATTATGAACATAAAAATAAAGCATTTTACAGTCAATATAAGGTGTATTGTATTGTAAATAAAAGAGTCCATGGCGACTTTTTGTACCAACAAATATTTCTCATGGAGTTTATTTTGAAAAGTCACAAACCCTCTTATCAAAAACAACAACAACAAAAACACCTGTTAATTAAACAAGTTCTGCTGACATGTTGACCTTTAGCGGGGCATGTTGTCACAGTATATGGAATTTTATTTATTTATAATAAATATTATTATTATTTAGAATAAATCTGTTTTGAGAAAAAAATGACATACTAACACATCAATCCATTTTCCACAATATAATATTCAAAATGTATTATAGGCTATTTATTACATGCATTATAGGCTTATTATATAATGTTTTTAACAGTAAAACAAACTGCAAAAAATGTGAGAAAAAAAATCATAGACACAAAAAATAAAAAAAACCTGTAACAGCTTGCATTGATAAATAAAAATATAATAGTACTTGAATTTTTAGTTTGTAGGACAGAATTCATAAAATATATGATCCTAATTTAATGGTGCAATAGGTGTTTAAAACCAACATATAAAACCACTGTATTTGTACACGTTAATTTGTGCAATTGGATTTTTTTTTTTACTCAAAACCTCACATTTACTGATATAAAG